CACTTAATTTTGACCCAAATGCTCTCACTTTGGCTTTGAGGTTCTAAATCTTGGATCTCTTCACAGGTATACACATCCCTGACATATAACGCCACTCCTCCTCCTTTCTTGTCTGGTCTGTTTCTCTGAAATAGATTGTATCCCTCCATTATTACATTCCAATCGTGGGACTTATCCCACCAGGTTTCAGTGATGCCTATTATGTCATATTTAGTTTGCTGTACCAAGAGCTCAAGCTCATCTTGTTTATTTCCCATGCTTTGCGCATTAGTGTACAGACATTGAAGTCCATTAATCATTCCCCCGTGTCTCTTATTTAAGGAATTTTTCCTCCCACCACTAGGTCTGCGTGCTGTTTGCTCCATTTGGTCTATGACATTTGGATGATCATCTTCATCAATTGATAGACTCCTACCTTCAGGAGCACTGTCTCCCTCCCCCACATTAGTCAGTTTAAAGCCCTCCTAATGAGGTTTCTGAGATTTTTGGCAAAAACATTTCTCCCAACCGTTGTGAGGTGCAGCCCATCGCTTGCCAGAAGTCCATCTTCAAGAAACTGCAGTCCGTGATCTAAGAATCCAAACCGTTCCTGTTTACACCATTTGCGAAGCCAGCTGTTCACTTCCACTATTTTCCCTCTCTCCCTGGGCCACGTTGTTCAACTGGGAGGACAGATGAGATGACAATTTGTGCATTTAATTGCTTCAATTTCCTGCCCAGAGCCTCGTAGTCTCTTTTGATCTTCTGGAGGCTATTGCTTGCAGTGTCATTGGTTCCCACATGAACCAAGAGGAAGGGGTATTTGTCAGTGGGTTTTATGATTCCTTGCAGTCGTTCAGTTACATCTTGGATCTTAGCCCCGGGAGGCAGCACACTTCCCGAGACATCTTGTCAGGCCCACAGATCACTGCTTCTGTTCCCCTCAGTAGGGAATCCCCTATCACCACTACACGCCTCCTCTTAGGTTTGGTCGGGGTTCTTCCGTGAGCTGTCCATTCCAAGGTCGCCTGCACATTCCCTGAGGACTGACTTTGCTGCTCGTCTTCATATACCTGATCGACTGTAATGAGGGAGAGATCCTCAAATGGAGTCTGCTCTTCGTCTTCCATGCTAGGGGAGAGGACCTCAAAGCGATTGTGTATTTCTAAACAATCAGAGCGAACCCTGGGCTTTAAACAATGCTTTCCTGACAATATGGTTTTTAAATGCTTTGTGTGCTTTGACCTTATCATACCACAAATATGCATGCCACCCAAATACATTGTTGAAACCTTCTAAATCCAAAATGTCTGTGTTTTCAAGAAGCAGCCATTCTCTCAGCCAACAAAATGCGGCTGATTCATAGTAAAGTTTAAGGTCTGGCAGGGCAAATCCACCTCTTTCTTTTGCATCCGTTAGTATTTTAAATTTTATTCTGGGCTTCTTGCCCTGCCAGACAAATCTGGAAATATCTCTCTGCCACTTCTTGAAACAGTCCATTTTGTCCAAAATTTGCAGTGTTTGGAACAAAAACAACATTCTTGGCAATACATTCATGTTTATCACAGCGATACGGCCTAGCAGTGAAAGCTTCAAATTTAACCATATTTCTAAGTCTTTTTTCACTTCAGTCCAACATTTTTCATAGTTATCCTTAAATAAATTCACATTTTTAGCAGTCATGTTAACCCCCAAATATTTCACTTTCTTAACCAGTGTTAATCCTGTCTCCTTCTGAAACCTCTCTCTCTCAATCGCTGTTAAATTTTTCTCTAAAACCTTAGTTTTTAACTTATTCAACTTAAATCCTGCAACCTGATCAAATTCTTGAATCAGTTCTATTACTCTTTTGGTACTAGATTCTGGCTCCTGTAATGTCAATACTAAGTCATCTGCAACTGCTTTCAGTTTATACTGTTTAGCTCCGACTTGTATACCCTTGACCAATTGGTCCCTTCTAATCATATTTAAAAGAACCTCCAGGACCGATATAAAAAGCAATGGGGAAATTGGGCAACCTTGTCGTGTCCCTTTCTCTATCTTAAATTCCTCCGTCACCACATTGTTAACAATTAGTTTGGCCTTTTGTTCAGAATATATTGCACTTATACCATTTCCAAAACCTTGACCAACCCCCATCCCCTGTAGGTTCTTCTGTCTAAAACTCCAGGAAATGTTGTCAAAAGCTTTCTCCGCGTCCACAAATATCAAAACTGCCTTGGTATTAATGCTCACTTGTAATATCTCCAAAATGTTAATTATGTTTCTCGTATTATCAGAAAGTGTCTGCCAGGGAGAAAGCCTGCTTGATCTTTATGTATCTCTTCCACTAATACTTTTTTTAATCTTTTAGCCAAAATATCTGCAAAAATTTTATAATCCACATTAAGCAGAGATATGGGGCGGTAATTCTTAAGCTGTGTCTTCTCAGACTCAATTTTCGGTATAAGTGTGATGTACGCCTCCTTCCACGACTCTGGTGCTTTTTTCCCTTCCAAAATTTCATTACAGACTTCCTTTAGTGGTTGTATTATCCAACTTTTCAGAGATCTATAGTATCTTGAAGTTAAGCCATCCGGTCCTGGAGATTTACCCAATTGCATATTCTGGATGGCACCTTCTACCTCCTGTTCAGTTATTTTGTAATTCAACATTAGCTTGTTTTCTTGAGAGATTTTTTGTAGTCCATTTATTTTCAAAAATCGATCTATGTCGATTTCTTTCTGTGGCCCTTGTGTATATAGTTGTTTAAAATACCTCTGGAAACAATTTCTAATCTCCACTGGGTTCTGTATATTCTTTCCTTCCACTTCCAAATTTGTAACAGTATTAAGTTTTTGTCTTTTTTTCATTTGCCAGGCCAGCAACTTCCCACATTTATTAGCCGACTCAAAAGTCTTTTGTCTCATCTGTTTAATTTTCCATTCTATTTCCTGATTCATCATTTTCATGTATTGTACTTGATGTAACTTTATTTCTCTCAAAATCTCTTGCGGCTTTGGTTTTGCTCTCAATTTCTTCTCACTTTCCTTTATTTTCTCCAGAATTTTATCTTTCTTCTCATTTTGGGTTCTCTTCTTTATTGCATTCTGTTGTATCAGGAACCCTCTCATGACCGCTTTACTTGCATCCCAGATTACTCTTTTTTCAACAATAGTGTTCATATTAATCTCAAAATAATCTCTCAAAGTTTTTTGGGCCCTCTTGATCATTTCTTCATCCCTAAACAAGGTGTCATTCATCCTCCATCTGAAAGAGCCAATTGGTGTTAGTTTCATCTCCATCTTTACAGCATTATGGTCGGAGCAGGTTTTAGGGCAAATTTCCACTTTTCTTGTCTTTGGAGCCAGTCCTCTAGTTACCCAAATTTGGTCAATTCTTGTCCATGTCATTTTGGCTTCAGAAAAGAAAGTTCCCTCTCTGCCCAAGGGGTTCTTTGTTCTCCAAATATCAACTAAATCCAAATTGTCAGTCATCTCAAAAAAGGTTTTCGGTAGCCTACCGTCCTTAGTAACTACCTGTCTCTGTGCCTTGTCCATATTTGTGGATACCACTCCATTCATGTCCCCCATCATGATCACATTGTAATCCAAATAGTCCATCAAAGTCTCATGCAACTTTTTAAAAAAATCTGATTTCCCCTCATTTGGTGCATAAACTCCTACTATCAAGAATTTCTCTCCTTGTAGTTGAATTTCAATTGCCACGAATCTTCCTTGGTCGTCTTTAAATATAAATTTCGGTGATAGGCTTTCCTTTGCGTAGATCACTACTCCCCTTTTTTTGACTTTGTCCGATGAAATAAACTCTTGACCCAGTCTTTTGTTAATCAATACTTTTCTGTGTAGCCTTACCACATGTGTTTCCTGTAAACAAATCAAGTCCAATTGTTCCTTTTTTTAATAAATGAAAGACTCTTTTCCTTTTTTGAGGGGAGTTCAAACCATTAGTATTCCAGCTTAAAAGTTGCAAAGCCATGATGTAATTACTCTGCTTTTCCTCCAACTGCACCAAGTGTTTGTTCTTGTTCTGTCAGTGGTGTTGTTATCACTTTCTCTGAGCAGTCCAATCCAAAGGGTAATGTAGCTATATCTAGTATTCCTCTTTTTAATAGTCCTTTGTCCGATGCTTTTTGTTTTGGTCTTCTGTCTGTCGGTTCTCTGTCCAATGCACTTAGCTCTTCTCCAGATTCTTTCTGCAAGTCTTCTCCGTGGTCTTTCAAAAATCTTTCTTTGTCGTCCACTGATCTTATTTTTATCTTTCTTCCTTTAAGGCTAAAGGATAGAACTTGGGGGAATTCCCGCCTAAAAATGATTCTATTGCTTCTCAACAGGGCAACCAAGTCACCGTAGTTGGACCTAAGATCCAAAAGGTATTTCGGAATATCTTTAAAAATCTCCACTCTTGACTGATGTATTTCCAAGGTCTTCTGAAAGTGCAGGCTCAAAATTTTGTCTCTCTCCTCTTTTGTTCGGAGGGTAATCAAGCAGTCTCTCACCCTGCTCTTCTTCCCCCCTCTTCCAAGCCTAAAAGCACTCACTATCTTAAATTCTTCCTTCTCCAAATCTAAATCCCAAAAGTCTGCAAATTCCTGCATAAGAAAGTCAGTCAGACTGTCCTTCTCTAATTCAGGCACAGCCCTGATCCTCAAGTTCATTTGTTTCTCCTTCAATTCAATCATAGAAAGCGTCGACCTATGATCCTCAAGTTGCCTGTGTATGACTGGTATCTTCTCCTCTACAGCAACTGCTTTTTCCTTAGCTTCTTCAGCGATCTGTTGAGTCGAAGTAGATTCCTGTAACAATTTCTTAGCTCAGTATTGTTTACCAGTGTTTCCCAAACTTGGGTCTCCAGCTGCTTTTGGACTACAGTTCCCAGCATCCTTGACCATTCGTTTTGCTAGCTAGGGATGATGTGAGTTGTAGTCCAAAAACAACTAGAGACCCAAGTTTGTGAAACACTGGTCTAAACTAACAGGCAGTGACATTCCAGAGCTTCAGAAGGGACATTCCCACCCTACCTGTAGATTCCAGGGATTGAACCTCAGACCTTCTGCTCCCAAGCAGATGTTCTACCACTGAGCTGCAGCCTTTCCCTGGTCTGGGTGGAACCTTTGAACCGTTCCACCTTCTGGCTGCTGTGCTGTGCATACCTCTTCAGGATCGGACCATTGTTAACAGTGCAAGCTCCAGGTTTTGGGGACTCCTTGGGCACGATGCTTCCAAGGTCCTCCTTTACATCCCCCCTGCCATTGGCCACTTGCTTTTCATCTGCAAAATGGAAAGGATGGACAGCAGACTTTTGCTGCTGCTGCTGCTTCTCCTCCTCCTTACTGCTTGCTCAAGCTCTCCCTTTGGGTGTAAGGCTAGGAAACTCTTGGGAGATCATAAACACGACATCAAAACCCAAGTAAACCACTCCATGTAGCCTTCCTCAGACAATTTTTAAAAATCTCGTTAAATATATCAAATCTTATTAAGGACACGCTTTAAGGCCATATAACACAATATTTCTGATACAACAAGCAAAATGCAAGATAGGATACACAAGTGCAGATTGACACCTCACGTCCCAAAGTCTTTGCCCTGCCTAACAATTATTCATTAGGTTTTCTATCATGCCTTGTTTTCTCTCTTGGTCACAATGGCACCTTCCCCAACCTAGTGCCCACCAGGTGTTCTAGACTATAATTCCCATCATCCCCAGCCAGCATGGTCAATGGTCAGCAATGTTGAGCGTTGTAGATATCTTGCAACCTCTTGCACCAGGTTGAGAAAGGCTGGCATAGAAGACTGTGCCCATTTTGAGGGACAATAAGCAGGCAATTTGCTGCAACAAGAACATCCTATTGTACCTGGAATCGATAGACTTTATCTGGAACAAACATCTACAGAGAATAGTTGAAAAGGTGCTCTTGCCTGATTGGTTTTTTGTTTCCGGGGGCATTCTGAACTCTGAGAATCTTTCAGGATGTTTCTAGAATCTGGCTGCTGAGTATAAACCTGTACATTTGATTAGTAACAACAGAATCTCCTCTCACAAGAAACTGACTCTTCAAAAGCTGCTGTAAAATTTCTAGGATTGCTTGAGGGAAAGGGCGTGAAATAATATTAATAACGCTTTCTTATAAGATCATTTTTGAAAGTGGGTCTCAGTATTACTTTATGAAGTCCAAACACTTGAGCTGCTAAAGAGGTCCATGGTGCTGAAATGTGGTCAAAATGTGACCGTTGCACTGGATTTTAGGGGGATCTCAGTTCCCATATGTGCTTTTCCATTGTGACCTTGTGCAAGCTCTCTGGAGGCAGCAATTTTTGAATGAAATTTGCTCTCCTGGTGTGCCCCTCAGGATTTCAGGCTTATGCCCATGTAACTTTCTCATTGCAAGTTGCAAGGGATAGGAGGCAAGGCACTATGACAACTAATGACCTCTGTTTTCTCTTATCAGCTTATATAGCAATTGTTAATACTGTGTGAATCTGACCACCGTACCAGGGAAGAGAGGACTTGCCATCTACTTATTTTAAAGTATGTATAAACCACTTAATGTTTGAAAAATCTCTAAGTGATGTACAACATAAAAACAAGGAAGACTAGCATTAAAACAAAAATACAACACAGAACTTAATTAACAGGAGTTCTATCCCTGTCAGATTGTGTGTGTTTTTAAACTGTGTGTGTTTGATATCAGAGTCATGGCAGGTCCTGTATTTTGATAAACAGGAGATTCCCAGTAAGCAATCTGAAGGTATCAGGGGTAGGGCTCTGAGGGAACCAAAATACTCTCCTTGGCCTCATTCAGTCTCATCACAATTAGCCACAGTTTGTCTTAAAACAGTGGTTTAATTGTGAATGTGCCTCTGCCCCCAGGAGTGGTAAACCTCCATTCCTGTGGGCCAACGCTGACCCACCAGAGGTTCCAGTTTGTCCCCCAATACCCTTTTCCCCTTCAAATCCACACCCACCAGTCAATCAGCTGACTTTACTCCAATGGAAGGGTGATGAGCTGATGGGCAGGGTTGGAGTTCAATTATGTGTCGGCTGCACACACCAGTTCAGCCAATGCAACAGGATTTAACTCCCTCTTCATAATACACAAATGAAAATACTGGAAACTCAAATGCAAATACCACAGACTATGTGCACCCTTAATGAGGAATTTCATTATGGTTTGGATGGGGAAGTCTCATTTTTTGTGATTCTTAGTGCCTCCCTTTCAACTCAGGTAAGTGTTTCTCCTGGCCAACTTCTCTAGTGCCCTTTCCCCTGAAATGGAGACAGTGCAAGGCACGGCTTGATGTTGTTCTGCACCCGTCTGCCCTGTAAATCTGCTGAGAATACAGAAAGAAAAAAGACAGAAGAGACTGAAAGCAAAATATCGGGGCTGGAGTTTTTAGGCAGAGATAGGGAAAGCAGAATAAAAGAGAGAGCCAGTGCTACTGTTTCCCACATTCTTTATTGTACTTCCATTGTCTCATTTGCTGTGTTTGTGTCATTTATCTCACTGTTCAAGGAAAAGTTTGGAAGCAAGAGAGAGCGATTAGTGGTGTTTAAGTTGCCATAGCAATATAGTCCATATTCTTTCCCCTAAGCATGCACACACCTATCTTAAAACCCTGCAAGGTTTTTGCCTCTTCATTTCCATATGAAAGCCTCCAGGCATTGCTTGCTCCTAACAATACAATAATAGGATCCCTGATTTTAGTGCTGGCCCTTGCAGCTGAACACACTGATTTGTGCAAATAAACTACAGGAGGGGAAAGCAGCCTTTATGAGGTGCAACTCACTCTCCCAATCTCTCCCTTTACTTCTGCCATTTCCCTCTTACTGATCATGAGCACAGGGACTGCTGGTGAGAGCAGGACACAGAAATGTGTGGCTGTTGGATACTGGAAGAAGCTGCTTCTCTCCTGGTGTGTGTGAGGGGGGAAGGTGTGGCTCCTTATTATTCTCCACACGAGTGTAGCGTACATCTGAAATCGGCGTGGGCAAAGATAATTGTGCCAGTGCTAATGTGTTGTGCAAATACGCAGTAAAAATCTCCGAAAGGGCTTGCAATTTCAAAAGAGAAATAGAAGTCCATACTGAAAGATAAGCATCTTCCATTTTACTGATGGGATCTTAGAATCATCGAATAGCAGAGCTGGAAGGGACCATTAGGTTCATCTAGTCCAACCCCCTGTGATAAAGAAATCCTTTGCTCAGCATAGGGCTTCACCCTGAGATAAATATTCTCATGCTCTATCAGTTGAGCGAGAAAGATTCCAGGACTTTAAAGCAGCTCTGCAACCATCTTGGTTTTTTTATTATTATTAAACCAACTCAGCTTGCCAATCTTGTTTCAGATCAAACTTTTCAGACTCAGCTGTTCTTTTTTCCTGAAGATGTGAATAATCAGTTCAACACCCCTCCTTTCACCACCTTGATGAAAGGCAATTATGCAAATAACCCTGTAGACACTGATTGATTGGCTAATATGACTTCAGTTAGTCACATTCCTTCCTGTCAATGCTTCCTGTGTTCTACTTGCATATTGATCTATCTATTGTTAATCGAATAACTTTAGAAAAATATTTCTGATTATGCTTCATGTGGGATCTGACATCGCAATACTTTTTTTAAAAAAAAATCTTAAATACATTTTAATTCACTGGGTACGTTTGGTTCCTTTGATAGCTCTGTCACCTTTGTCACAGACACAAGCCGCATGATTGTTTGAAACTCTGCATCTTTGAGGAGAAAGGCTAAATATATGATCTCTAAAGAAATAATAGAATGGTAGAGATGGAAGGAACAACGAGGGTCATCTAGTCCAAACCTCTGCAATGCAGGAATATTTTGCCCAACATGGGGCTCAAACCAACAACTCTGAGATTCAGAGTGTCATGTTCCACCAACTGAGCTATTTATGTTAGACTGCTGGAAGCTGAGAGTGAAGGAGAATAGATCAACTTTATTATTGCCCACATTGGGATAGCCAGTGTGGTGATCTCCACATGTTTCCTGACCACAGCTCTCATCACTCCTGACCATTGACTGGGCCTAATGGAAATTGGAGTCCACCCACAACTGGAGGTGACCATGTGAGCTACACCTGTAGCAATGAGAAAATGTATCCTCTAGAAATATTGAGGTAGATGAGCTTCATCTAAATTTCACTAAAAATTTGGTGTCATGATTTGAAATTACCTGGTTTGGTATATATATGAAATTATCTAGCTCACAGTGTTCACCAGTCTTATGAGTTCATCTCCAACTCAGTTTGCTAAATAAGCATACTTAGAAACTTTAACAATCAGCAAACCAGATTCCTAAAGCCAGCTGCTTCCTAGACATGGCCTCCATGACAATGATGCATTGGGTAAGGAACACCTTCTACCCAAGGATGGGACCAAGCTAAAATTCACAATGAATGGTTGTGACTGACATCTGGACACAAATGACTTTCCTTCTGAAGATGTTAGCTAGATCATCTCTGACGCAAGCAGGAAGATTCTGCCGTTTGGATCCAAGGATTGTGCTTCAATTAAATATGTTCAAAATTGTAAAGTAATATCACGGAATTACAAATTATAAAGTTCAATAATTATGAAATCCAGATTAAAATATTTCACCTTTTAGCAAATTGCACACTTTATTAAAATAAGTTGTTGTTCTATTCATTTCTCTCTCACCTTTCCTCCAGAAAGTTTGAGGTAGCATACATGGTTCTCTCCTTCTCAATGTTATCCTCTCAATTTTATTATCACAACAACCATGTGAGGTAGGTTAGGATGTGAGACAGTTGCTGGCCGAAGACCACCCAGTGAGCCTCATGACTTAGTGGAGATTTGAACCCTGGTCTCCCAGGTTCTAGTCCAGTTCTCTTAACACACTACAACACAATGACTCTGTTATATTGAAAGCAGCAGATTATGTTGAAAGCAGATTGCTGTATTCCTCCAACAGTAGAAACATGAATTCTGAGATACATTCATGAAAGCAAAGCCTTGTCTGCAAAATTGCCAGCCTCCATTTAGACGATCTAGACATGGAATGCATTGCTTGCAGTGATTTTAAGTGTGGGGTTCAGCTGTTGTTTAAAAAATGGTTCCACATTCTTCCCAGCAGAGATGACAGCAATCCTCCAGTCTCGCGCTTCACCAGCCCTTCAGCTGCTGCCTTCCTAAGCAAAACAGATCCTTCATTAACCATTACCCCTGGCTCGGAACATTGCTAGCCCCAACCTCAGTAATCCCATTAGTTTTTCTTTCCTGCCTGGCATTATGGCCTCTTATCAGAGGCCTTTCAGAACCCTGGATCAGAGCTGCTGTTCCCGTTCAGTGTCTCTGGGAAAGTCATGAGGCAAGCACACTGTGCTTGCTGCTGTTATTTTCTTTAATTGGAATCTCTGTTGAATCTGCTAATTAAGTTCTTTGCCTGCAACTAATATTCGGCTGTTAATTCCTCCCAGGAGTGTTCCCTGCAGCAGAGGTTGCATTGGCTGGCTTCTTGCCATAGCATCTTCAGGGCAGGAGGGGAAAGAACGAAAGAGTCCTTTAAACCACAGGAATGACTCGTGCATTGCCTCCTCCGCATCTGAGTCCTGGTGCAGTTTTGTTTTGATATTTGATGGTCTAGAATTGCTAGAAAAGGGAAAAAGTCATCCATTTCTCTGATGGACAGCACCTATTGGGCAGTGCCTGTGACATCACTAACAAAGCATACCAGTGGTGAAGTTGGGAGTGGGAGCAGCTCAGCTAAGGCTTAGTCCTAGCATGTATGGAAAGGGGTGCTGCAAAGAAAGGGTTCTGCTGTTGTCACATTGGATGGCCATTCCATCCTCTTTTTTCTTCTGATCTTTGGCTACCCTGCCTTCCTTCATTCCACAAGGCCTGTAGGGTGAAGGAAGCTTCAGGGGAATCAGTCATGTGCATCTCCAGTTTGGTCACCCTCGGCTGTGGTCCATGACTCCTCCATGCACATCTGTGGGCTACACAGGTGGCAAACCAAGTAAAAATGCTTTTGCTTTTTCTCAGAAAGAGTGAGTGAGCAAGAGATTCTGGATTTACTAAGGAAAAAATATTGCTGTCAGCCAGTCCAAATTTCTGGCTTCTGCACATAAATTCCTGGCAACTGGCCCAGAGTTCTGTTTTGTGCTGAACTGTTCTTGTTCTTGTTTTGTTTTCTTACTAGTCAACGGGCAGTCCTAGTTTCTTACTGTGCTGCAGACTCCCAGTGGAAACTAATTTATAATACTTCAGTGTCAGGGGCAATATGCTTCTATGTAGCAGTTGCCAGGAATCACAAGTGGGGAGAGCACTGCTGGACTCAGGTGCTGCTTGGAGGCTTCCTCCAGGCACCTGGTAGGCCACTGTGAGAACAGGATGGAGGATTAGATGGGCATTTGGCCGGATCCAGCACGGTTGGGCTTTTCTTATGCTACTGCAAGACACATTTCCTGAATGTGTGTGTGTGCTAAAGAGATTAAATCAGGTGCATAGATGATGAAATCCTGAGATCTGCATAGACACGGGTAGGCTAGAAGCTAATGACAATGACAAGCAAACAGCTTAGCTTTGCATCCCCAAAGTCCTTCCTTGACATAGCATCTCTGTGTGAATTGTCCTGGGGCAGAGAGGCCCCCACCAGTTGCTCTTAGACTTGGCACAGGCATTGGGCTCAGACGTTGAATTAAATGACATATACGACAACCCCCCTACGTGTCTTATCTGACATATGGAGCCCAGTGAGACTAATTCCAAGATAAGCAGGGTATAGGATTGCAACCTTTATTTTTTTAAAGGTGAAGTACCACTTAGCCTTCCCTTGCAATTGTTTTCCAAGAAGTGACAAGCCCACTGTCCTGTTCCTCTCGGGAAAACTATGAAAAATGAGGCAACTTCCGAAGTGAGCAGGGGAAGCTGGCAGAGCAGCAGGATCCCCTTGCCAGCTTTTGGGGAGATTTAAATGGCATTTAATTAGCTGCATTCAGGTGGCCACAATGGTTTTTCCCCCCATACAGCAGCAGCAAGGAAGGATTGCAGTTCCTGGCATTTGTTAATTAAAGCAGCTCTTGACAGAGACTAATGACTACTTAATGAGTCTGTTGTCTTAATGTCTTATTAAGTTTTGACTCTTCTCTTTCCTTCCCTGGCCGCCATTTTCTTGGGAATTTTGCAAGTCATGAATTATTGATATTCCCCCTCCCACTTCTCCCCACCAATGTTTTTTTTCTCATGTACCTCCTTGATTTTGTGGCTTCCTTCTTTAAAAAGGAGATCCAACCAAGCTAAAATATTCAGCTGGATTATAGCCAGGATAAGGAGCATAGTAATAAGGAGCTTAGTCCTTCCCCTAAAGCAATTTATATGACAATTTATATGATGGAAGTTTGGGTGCAAGTTAGCTTGCAAGTTAGCTTGCAGAAGAGGGATTTGCACAGGTCAAGAAAGATAGAGTTAGGAACCTCCAGATTCCCAGACTATCCTTGTAACGTTAAACTCTTGAGCTGACCTCTCTCTCTGACGTTTAGACTGATATTCTCAGGTTGCATCTTGTTTTACAACGTCCCTCTCCTCCTCACACTTCTCTCTCAGTCCTCAAGATGCAGTCACCTTGGAGATATCTTTTGGGAGAATAAAGGAGCAAACATGACTGACTTTGTTATTTTCTGGACTAGTTAGACTAGAATGAGAAACTTCTATCCAAATTATGTACTTACTACAATGAACTACTTTCTTATTTTCTTACCAACAAGCATCTGTGTCTGTGACTGCAACAAATGAAGATTCAAGAATCTTAACCAAGATTCACGTGCCAAACACTGCTCACACTCCATACGAAAGGGTTTCAATAGGTAATTGATCCAGTTAATCCCCAAAACAGTTCATACAAGTAGGAAAAGGGTTCTGGAAAGATAAGAATGAGGGCTGCTCCTGCAGGTTGGAATAAGAACAGAAGAACATGAGGTCAATGGTCCATCTAGTTCAACATCCTGTTCTTGCAATGGCCAACCAGATGCCTGTGGGAAACCCACAAGCAGGACCTGCAAGCACAAGAGCACTGGTATTCAGAAGCATTGCTGCCTCCAACTGTGGAGGCTGAACATAACCATCATGTCTAGTAGCCCTTTCCTCCATGCACCAGAAGATATCCTACCAGAAGATATGACCTATCTGATTGATGTGAACAATGGAATGGGGTCCTAAATGCCGCATCTACACTTCCCTGGCCAGTGGATATGGTTATGACATGAAGCCTGCCCATGAGGCTGGTGAGGCAGCCACCTTGGGCATTGAATGCCCAAGAAGCAGCATCCCTGTGGGCACCTCACCCATCCCACCACTGTCAGAGAAGCAGCACTGGCTTCCAGCAAGATCTTGTGAGAAAGCTGTAGAACATTGATAACATGCCCTCCCTCTGAGTAGTATCTGTGTGAAAGATGTTTCCACAACAGTAACTTCAGTCTGAACTATAAACTCACTGGGTTGTTGTATCCAGTAATAGTTCTACTAGATCCATTGAAATTAATGAACACAATTAATTTAGGCCCATTAATTCCAATGGGTCTATTCTGAGGAGTAGCATTGGATGCAACTCCTCATTGCTACTCAAGCTACATGATACGTGGAATCACTGCTATTCTTTCACCAAAATGCCCAGGGGGCAGGGAACTCAGAAGCAAGTGGCTCTAGTGCCAATGGATAGCAATTACTGTTAAATCCCACCCATCTTTTTATGTGTTCCACTTTCCCAGAGCCTAGAGCAGTTCCAGTTCAACAAAAAAGGTTGCAAGGCAGAAAGCATCCACTGCTGGCCAAAAATAAATACATGTCCAAGCATGGCTTTGGAGAACACTTGGGTTTAGAGATGCAACACATCACGCTATTCTGGGGAAGAGTGTGTTTCTGCTCAGTCTGCTGTCCAGGTGCTAAC